TATAACTCCTGAATCTCATTGCTCTCTCTTAATTCTTATTAATTTACATACTTAACTTTGCTTTTTGGTACCTTATAAATGTGTCAGATTGGGCAATTCACTTACCAATTTTAAAAAGTTAAAAATATCTTCTCTATATTGACTAAAAAATACAACATCACAAGAACCTCAAGAGAGGTTCTATTTTTTCTCACATCACTCCAGTTACAATTTTCCTAAATAATTCATTCTTTTAAACAGAGTCCTATAGGTCCATAATTCTGAAATTAGAAAGCTTTCATTCCATTATTTATCGTATTTGTAAGACCATACTGAATAGGTGTTAAAATGCTATTTGGTCAAAATCAAGAGAGGCCATACCCAAAGGGCAATGGAATCTGTAACTGGGGTAACAACACTAGTTCCAGTATCAGTACATATCAAAGCTACACTCTCCTTGGTATTTGAACATATACCAAGATGTTTTAACATATTTCTATTTTAGAACTATTTTCTAGTTTAGAGGACAAAATATAGAGTTTTTAGTCACTATATAAAATAATACTTTTTAAAGCACCTTGTAGAAAACTGCTTTAAGATTTATAAAAGCAAATTCAATTCAAAATATTACTGAATGTTTAGTAAAAATGCACATAGCAAGCACATACTAATAGACATACTAAACAAATTACTCATAAGTTGAAGCCTCCTTCTCTCAGTCCCTTGGCCTGGAATGCTGAGGATAACAGTGGTAAGTTTCTTTTTATAATGGCATAGTGCATCTCTCTATCCAACTTGAGGCCATCTACATATTCCTTTATTCAGGGATAAACTGTGCAATCTTTCACACATTTACTTCACATAACTAAAGTACACAGATTTTTTTTTTGCTACCTCTTAAATTCAAAACACTTAGTCCCCCTCAGATATCATTTTGATTCAAATACAATAAAATGAGACATAAAACCAACTTCCAATTCACACACAAATACCTACTATATGCCAGACTGTATGCTAGAGTCTAGAAAAGATGAAATAAGACCCAGTCTTTGCCCTCAAGGAGCCAATGGCCTTATTAAGGAAAATGAAAGGTAAGTAAACAATCCAGGATGCAAAGTGCTTTGAGAAGAAAAAGCCTATTAGAGATGCACTGTAGGCAATTAATCCTGTTTCAGTTATCCATTGCTGTGTAGCAAACCATGTGGAAACTTAGTGACTTAATAAGTTATCATCATCTTTTATAGCTCTGTATGGGTTTGCTTAGCTCAGCTGGGTGTTCTTGGCTAAGGCATCTCACATGTGGTTGCAGGCAGATGTTGACAAGAGCTATATTCATCTGAAAGTTTATCTGGGATTGATGTCCAAATAATTCACTCATGTGGCAGAAGTTGATGTGCGAGCTTGGTTTCAGCTGCTGGTCAGAGTGCTTACACATGGCCTTCCCATGTTCCCATGTGGCATGGGCACAGCATGGCACCTGGATTCTACAGAGAAAGCCCTAACAGTAAATGTCCCAAGAGATCAAAATCATAAAGCTTTTCATAACCCAATATGGAATTAGGCAGTCACTTCTACTATATTCTATTGGTTACAGAGTACCCACCTGGGTTCACAATGGTTTGAGTACTGGGAGGCATGGTTCATTGAGAATCCTCTTTGTCAATTCGCTATCACAAGCATGAAATCATTTCAAAACTAGCTATTTTTAAAATTCCTTCTCCTCTTGGCTCATAGAAGGTCAATGGGAAAGCTGCCCTGAAACAGTATGAAAATCAACAATGCCACCCTAGCATTCCCTGAGGATCCCCTTGATTCGTCCAGCAGCCAAGACACTAAGTGATCCAAAGGAGGAAAAGGGTGATTAAGAAGACTGTGTGGTCAGTAAGTAAATGTGCAACATCTGGCATATATTAGAACTACTCTAGTGCACAACTTCACCAGGAATTTTGTTGATCTTATAACTGTCACAGTATCTGAATCACCCGAACTTTAGTACCACAAGACTCTTGTCCTCATTGTTGTGTTTACCAGTTCCATGCTGAAAAGAAAGAAAAATTATGATGTATATCTTTCCCTAACAAACAGCAATTTTTAAAATTCTGTTTTTACAATAGGACCCTATGGAGCTTTTGCTGTAATATTATGAAAATTAAGCAATTTTATCTACTCTAAACGAACTACTTTGTAAGCTGTAGTCGAATTTGACTACTCTTATGCTTTTTTTATTGTTAATCCAGGTAAATATTCCCTATTGAACATAGATGAGCAGTTTATAAATTAGATAAAAATAGAAAACGAATCATTTCATCAGTGTTAACTGGAAATATGCTAGCTCCCCCTTATTTCAGAATAACGTGTCACAATTCTGCATTTTAAAATGTTGCATTGTATCATATCTAAAAATATAAAAAGAATTCCCAAATAATAAAAACATCCAATATTTATCATTTTATTAGTATTAGCCTTTGGGAAAAATACTATTTTGACCACAAGGTGGAGCTTTGATGTCACAATTTGGCAAGATTTATAAGATACATAAAACTACGTAAATACAGATAAAAATAATTTAATAGGGGAGGACTCAAGATGGCGCTGTGAGAACAACCCAGGATTGGAGTTCTCGTTGTGTCCGCGGAGAGGGACATGGATGAATCTGGAGAACATCATCCTCAGCAAACTGACACAAGAACAGAAAATGAAACACCGCATATTCTCACTCATAGGCGGGAGATGAAAAATGAGAACACATGGACACAGAAAGGGGAGTACTAAACACTGGGGTCTATTGGGGGGAAAAGGGGAGGGCCAGTGGGAGGGGGAGGTGGGGAGGGATAGCCTGGGGAGAAATGCCAAATGTGGGTGAAGGGGAGAAGAAAAGCAAAGCACACTGCCATGTGTGTACCTACGCAACTGTCTTGCATGCTCTGCCCATGTACCCCAAAACCTAAAATCCAATAAAAAAAAAAAAAGACTGAAAAAAAAAAATTTAATAATACAAAGTAAAATAGGATAATCTCATTTTGCAAATATACAGTATTTAAAATTAATCAATTCTACAAACATTAATTCTCAGCAGAAAAAAACTATCATTTAATTTGTCCAATTCTCACTTAGCAGTTACTGATCTTTGTCATATATAACATTGTCTTCATTCAGTAGGTGCAGAATTATTCTGTCATTTCACATCAAGATCCCAAAGAGATTTAGTGACTTTAAATAAGTGTTAAAATAATGTCTTTTAAAATTATTTTATAATTAATCACAGACTTGTTCATTAACCCTTAACAAAATGTACATTTTTTTTTCCTCCTCTCCATCCCTTAATTTTAGTTTGTAATCTAATATTGACTTCAGGGTCATCCGTTTTACCTTCTAAATATCCATTTTTATCTTATAAAATTATTTTCAGTTGATTATTTGTGTTTTGTATTGTTAAACAGGCACAAATTTCTAATTTTCAAGAGAACAGATTTTTATGGGTTTCAGTGAAGACAGAATAGCATGCTGAACTAAACAGTCACTTGATTTATTAAATTAACAAACATTACCACCACCTCAATAATATCTGTCAGGAATGAAAAAACTTTTCTAAATGAATATTTCTTAATCTATTTTAATATATTAAGAATAGAACAAAAATATATCCATACATCTGTTGATGAACATTTAGTTTGTCTCCAAATCTTATCTATTACGAACAGTGCTGCAACAAACATGGGAGGGCAGATATTGCTTCTATGTACTGATTTCCTTTTTTTGGGTATATACCAAGCACTGGGATTGCTGGATCATATTTTTAGTTTTTTGAGGATCCTCCAAATTGTACTCCATAGTACAATTACATAGTGATTGCAATTAGCAGTGTGTGAGAGGTCCCTTTTCTCCTCATCCTCTCCAGCATTTGTTATTGCCTGTCTTTTGGATATAAGCCATTCTAACTGGGGTGAGATAATATCTCATTGTAGTTTTGACTGGCATTTCTCTGATGAACAATGATGTTGAGTACATTTTTAAATGCCATTAGAAAGATTTAAGGCTTATAAAATTCACAAATCCCTAGCCTGTTTACTTACCTTCCCAATCATTCTAATTTCTGTTATCAAAATAATTTAGTTATGTAGTAATTCACACTTCTAAAGCATTTCTACATGTACAGTTTTCTCTTCTCATTATTTCTTAGTGTACTTCTCTCCCATTTAATCCAACTCATTACATTAAAATTTTTTATATATTTCTCTATTTTTCTTCCCAACAGCTTTTTCTTAATAATTATTCTTAAGTAATGCTGTAGAGCTTGCTATTCAAAAAGACCACAGAAAAAAACTACCTGGATCCCAGTTCTGAAAACATGGCAGGAGACTGAAATAGTTATGCTAGGTAACCACCCATGGATGCCAAAATAGAAAAGGACTAGTACCTGAGAGATGTCTTTGAACTGTACCACAAGGGACATTAAGCTGGCTTGCACTGGTAAAAATTGACTTGCTTTTATAACCAGAGGCTGTTCTGATGAGTTGGCATCTACCAGGTGCTACATATTTTGAAAAACATTCCTGATGTATAGTAACATAATTCACAAATCATTACTAAAATGTCTCCTCAACCTAGTTGATGGATAGTAGAAATTTTCTTTGGGTACCAAGTGTCCCCAAAGAAGTAGACGGGGGTAGAACCCAACTTTCTTATCTTTTTAAGTCCATCTCCCAGTGACTATAATTTTTTTTCATCACCATATCCTTGGTGCCCTGGCCCATAATATAGACTCAAAAAATATTAATGAACAAATACACTCATATTGAATAAAGTTTGACTTCTATTTTCTCACTTGTAAAATGAGTTAGATCAAATTCCTAGTCATGCTAAAATTGAAGATTCTATAATTTAATTTATAATTCAATAGTTTGATAGATCCTTAAATCTACTAAGCCAAATAAAAAATCATAGGATTCTTTCTTTCAGACTTTTCCATCATACATTCACTTCTGAAGATAAACACCAATAGTAAAGAGAACACCACCACCTTCTAAAATTATTTTATTTTTTATAATTTTCTAACACATAGTGTTAGAAAATGAATGTTCGCACCATGATTAAGAGCTTCTTTTCAAGTTTAACCTTTACATTAAAAACAGTAGCTAAAATAAGGATATTTCAACCTTACTTAGAGAAATGATAAAACATCAAGTCAACAAATATTTTTGTTGGGGTATTTTTTTATAAGTGGGATACAGGGAAGTTAATATAGACACTAAGAATAAAATGGAAATTATGCCAGGAAGAGAAAAAAACAAATAACCTTCCCCCCAAAAAAAGAATAAGGAGAGAGACAAAGGGCAAAAGGGAAGAAGCAAGGCTCAACGACTTTATTTTCCTGATATAAAATTCAAGTACTTAAAAGTTTTTTAAAAAAATTATAAATGCACTACTCATCTCAATGAAACTTTTCTTTTTCCTCACTATTTTCTAGAACTTTCTAAAAAAGGGAAACAAAAAAAAAAGCCTGTTTTGACTTAAGGACACTTGTTGATCTGAAGTTGACATTTGATAATACTTTAAGACATGGAAAGGTTTTCCTAAATCTAATACCTACTTAATATAATCCACTTTTGAAGATTCATCTGAAGAAACACAGAGTTTGATTTTTAATACAAATGTAAAATATTCTGCCTTACAATCTAAGCAAAAATGTTTTCAACTGTATATGCTCCTCAGTTGTATTTTGTACTAATTTTCTTAAGGAAAACATTGTATAATTGTGTGTTCCTGTAGTAACTACTGTAAATAAGACCTGCATAGGTATTCAAAAAAGTACTTAATTGCATACAAATACAGTTTGAATCTGATTTTCAAAGTTTTAAAACATGGTAATTTCATTTATATCCATTTCATCTATATTTCCTCTAATTTTGATAAATAAAAATCTTCCCATGCTTTTTTTAAATAAGAAAATATAATTAGTCTTGTCATTTGTACCTAAATATTTTATCATCTTGAAACAAATATTCATAAAATTGTCATTATTCTCAGAGGCAAAAAAAGCTTAGAAATAAATATTTTCTTTTGCTGTTTTTTTCTTTCGTTTCTTCTTCAACCTGTGTTTTAAGGCTCAGAGCAGACATTAAGAAATAACATTTTTTATAAAATGTTTTTCAAATGTTTGGCCCAAAGTGAAGCTGTTCTGTTGCAGTTATTTAAATATTCCTCTCATCTTCTCAGACACAACTTCAAAGACGTGTTCATGTCAGTCATTCATCCAAAAGAAATTTAAATTCAATGAAAAGTAAATAACTTAGGGGTCTATAAATGATACTGCAATGTATCTTGTTCCATTTTTAACAGGAAGTCCTTCATGCAAATGTGTGAGTCTCCCAGGATGCATGAAGCTCCAGCCTTTTCGTGGTGATTCAATAGAGCAATTGTACCTTAGAAATTTGCAACCACCTCCCTAAAAAGGTTTAAATGAAGAAATATATCAGCTTATTATATTTAACCAGTGGCAAAATTCAAATTATGTCATTTGAGCAAAATTTTAAAAAGAAACTAAGCTTATGGCAAAGCCCTTTTCATAATTATATATTTCTTTTGAAAAATCTAAAAACACAAGAGTCAAAATTACCTGAAAGTCTTCTCCCACGTTATTAAGTGCAATGTTTATGGTAAATGTAGAAGCATCATGATGAGGGCGAAGAGAACGCTGTCTTTCAGGGGAATATTTTACTACAAAATTCAATAGTGCAAACCCCTGAAAAAGGAAAGTAAGCCAGTGGATTTGCTTATTAATAAAAACATTAAAAACAATATCTGTGTAAAAATTGGTAGGAAATAGGCTGGAGAGGTGGGAGGATAACTACCTTCGTATAATAGCCTGCAAAGACCTTCAGTGTAACTGGTGCAATGAACTCCCGGATAAAATGAAGCCATACATTCTCAAGATCAACTTGCTTCATGTGGATATCATCAGTTGGGACATTTTCATAACCACCAGATATACGGCTATCCTAGAAACAACACAAATGACATTGTAAGATATAGTTCATGTGCAATTCCCATTTATATTACAGTATATTTTTCAACACAGATCATAATAGACAATAAAAATAACAGTTGTTCCAATATGGTATACCATCAGGTTTAACTGTAAAACTATCAGAATAAGTTAGGTACAGCTTTGCCAATGATACAATGATGAAACAAAGTAATGTAAGGTCAGTAGACTCCTTTCCTACTTTGAAAATGTATATGGAAGTTTAACTATAAAGTAAATAAAACTGACTTCCTAAGCCCGCAAATACCCTCTAAAACATGAGTGTTTTTTACAGTGACACTTTAGGCAGTCTTAGCTGCTTGATGAGCATACATTCGGCATATCTGCTTTCTGTATTAGCAGATACTGAAAACAAGCTTTCTCCGCTGTTCCTTACTTCTATTTGTAACACTCAGTCTTTGAAAGATTGCTTTTCATTATTTCACCACCTACTGACTTCAAGTTCTTCCTTATACTTTAAGTTTCCCTCTCCCTCATCAGCTCATTACCTGGGGGACATAATTGTGCAGAGGCAGTAATATACCAGAGTATTCTGCTAAAATGGCATGTCAGTTCACAGAGGAAAAGAAACACATGGAACCACTGACAGTAGTATTTCCTGCCAAGTCTTTGATGCTGAATGCAAATGCAAAACTGAATTACACCGAAGGCACTCAGATACCTCCTTCCTATTTTACACACAAAAACACAGTTTTGACAGCCAGATAAAGTCTGCCCTAGAATTTTCACTCTCACTGTGAAAATGCAAGGAATAAAAAGTGGCCTTGGAAAAGAGCCATATCACTCTGTAAAGACATATATTACCTAACAATCTCCAGCTTGAGGACACTGACCCTTAGGGAACATCCAGTGTAATTACATGCATAAATGAGAAACCCGCCCAGACTGATGAAATGACTTAAGTGTTAAACAACTGGTTAGTGGCAGAAGTAGACTGAAATCAGAGCCTTGGCTAGCCAATTTATTTAGGTCTAGAACTCAGAGACGTATGAGAAAAAGTATAACAACCTCTCCAAATTATCTGAATATCTACTTAAACCCCAAACTCATTTTAGTTCTTAGAGTGAAATTACAACTTACGTGATGTTTTCCTCCAGACCATTTGCCGTAATGCTCCATTTCTTCTACCAATTCGTCACAGGCTTTTTCCGAAAATATGGGGAACCAAAAGACATCTGGACATGGCTATAAAATAAGCGTCATCATTAGAAGACATAATAACTTCTGTGTCTTAATAGTCTAAAATAGCTATTATGTGTAAAATAAAAAATCCTAAATGACTAGGAAACATAGTTTTCTGTCATGGTTTATTTGACAGTATTTTTTTTTCTCGTGGTACACAAATAATGGTGCACCTCAGAATTGATGACATTCTCAAAAATAGTTTTAAACACTAACCTAAAAGAGAATTCATTATTTGAAGTTGTCTCTTTGAAAAGACTCAGAAAGACAGCCAGATACTTCCAAAGAAAAGCTTTCACTGAAAGAGTTCTATATGAAAGATCTGTGAATGGTTCCTGTTTTTAGTGGTTTGAGAAAGCTATGAATAACACTTAGGAGCATGCTTAAAATGCTAATTTCTATGTTCTACATTTTACAACTGCATGTTCCTTAAGGCTATTTAATCAGTAATTGAGTCATATAAATTTTACCTAAAAGATAGTTTCTCCACTTTCACATCTTCTGTGAAAGTAGTATTGCATTAATAGTATTTCTTCTGGAAAATAACAGCAAAATTTTCTATACTTTGTAATCATTGTTAATACAAACCTGTTCAACTATATTTTCAGTGAAAATCTTGGAATAATCACGGTTTATATACTTTTCCTTCCAGTCCTATATAAAAAGAAGTACATATTAAAACAAATACCTTTATAAATACTTTACTGAAAAGTATAAAGCATATGCATTTTAGAAATTATTCAACTTATAAGTGATTATGTGTGGTGGACAAAATAGTAATTTTCAGAAACCACAGTATATGGTTTAATTTTTGCCTGGTTCTGAGTATGCTTATGTCATTCTATGAAGTACAAAATTTTTATTTATAAAATGTTGTACCTCAGGATTTTAAAACTTCAGTAATCTTACAGTGAATAGATTTACACATTTTACAGATGCTCCTTGACTTGCGATGGGGTTATGTCCCAATAAACCCTTGGGAGGTTGAAATCACCCAATACCCTGATAAATAAATCCATCATAAATTTGAAAATTCCTAAGTCAAGTCACCATAAGTTGAGGACCATCAGTATTTTAATATATACACAGAGTAGGTAAAAAAAATGTGTGTTTAAAAGTAAAAGACAGGGAACAAAATCCTACTAACAAATATTTGTAAAAATGAATGTGAATTAATTAACGAGGGTCTATCTTATATGTCTCTAGTAAATTATTCTTACTTTATTTTTAAATGAATTTTTAAAATATCTGCCTTCACTTCAGTTATTAATATTTATCAAGGAATAATCATGAGTTTACTAGCACTTTCACTTCTTTCAATTACTAAAATTAAGGGATAGGGCTCTATGTTGAAAAATGGTTCCCCTTCATTCTAATTCATGAATTTGATCCTTTCTGACCAATCTCTGGCATAAAAGCCATATATGAAAATATCATGACATTTTTTTCAATAAAAGCTAAAGAATTATTTTATTGGGTCAAGTTCTATAATTAAATATGGGTATTTATTAAAATATGAATATATTAAGATAGTGAGTGATATAAGTATCCAAAAAGATCTCTTCTTTGATTTAGAATATTTCTAGCAATTATTAATCTTTCTCTTTACAAAGTGCAAATATAGAAAGCCAGCAGGGAGGAAGTGAGACACAGACTCAAAATAATCCCAATCAAAAGATGTTTAAAAAGTTATTTGCCAAAAAAAAAATTATTTGCCTTAAATACATCTTTTGAGGCTAGATTTTAGAGGGACTGAATATTTATGTCATTATTTATGCCATTAGTTTTGCATCTATTTATATGCAACTCAAACATTTTTGATGTGGAGGAAACAAAGGTATCTTCATAATTTTAACAAATTTCATGTTTACATACTATATATGGATCAGATTTCTGTATTATCTCATTATTCCCTTCAATATTAATGAGTTTTCTGATTCTAAAATATGGGAGGAAACTGAATAATCATCAATAAGAAAGAATTTATACCTATAGTCTTTTATCTTGTGTATCAGTACTGATTTTTCTTTAAGTAAAAAAAAAAAAAAAAAATTCCCTACAATTTTATCTTAGGGCATTAGTATTAACATTTCATTTTGGATCACCTTTCAAATCACTGAGCAAACTGTGACTTTATTAATTTCTTAGAAATTCTAATAATCAGAAGCCTTTTTCTATGGGGTTTCCCTCATGAGGCACATTAGTCAGGCTAATTTAACAGAGAGTAAAGAAAGTCATGGAAAGAAAAGCCGTTCCCACTCAGTTCTGATATTTTCATTGCTTACTTTCCAAAGACTTGAATTCTTACACAAATATCTACAATTTAGGATATCATTTAGGACATCTTACCAGAAACTTAATGTCACACAAGAAATCAAAAAATCCTAATGGTGAAGTGAAATAAGGAATTCTACCCTCACAACTAAAAAACACCTCTTTTCAACTTTACTTCTGTCAAAGATGAAGATATGTGGCTAAAATGGAACAAAAGTACTTTTAAAATAACAAAATGTCAAAAGATATTCTTTTCCTATTCAGAATATTCAGACTACTACATTTACTATCCCCAGATCTCAACTATTCCTTCATAATAAAGGACAACTCTCATCGGGTGGATTGAGTCTGCAATTTAAAACTTTTACTATTGGCAAGGGGAAAATCATTACAGCAGTGTTACAGGTTTGATTGTTGAAGAGAGTATTTTCCCTTGAATAAATGTGCGACTTGGCTAACGGAAAAGATGTCCCTGTAAAACACAAAAGGAGCTAATTACTGTATGATTCAAATCTGTTAAAAAGAAGAACAAGAAAACAGATTTTAAAAGGAAATCATTTCTTCAAGTTAAGACTCTCTTCATATGCTGAATAAGCTTTCTTCTGAAATTCTCTCTAGCTATCTTTGATGTACATTCACAAAGCTGCCAAAAAGTGATTTAAAAATGTATTTTCTTAAACAAAAAATAAAACTATTATAAATATGAGTTATTTGTAAACATGTTTCCAAAATTATGATTAAAATTGGATGGTACTTTTGAATACCCAAAACAAAAATATTAGAATATTGAGAAAGAACAAATTGATAATTATCTTCCCCAAACCTAATAACTATCTTAATATGAAAAACAGTTATTGGTCAAGTTTGGATCTACTCTATAGATCATAAAATACAATAATTATGTCATTTTCATTTTTTTTTAATTTACTTTTTAAAAATTATTTCAGCATTTTGATTCAGGGACTATATGTGCAGGTTTGTTACGAGTGCATATTGCATGATGCTAAGGTTTAGAGTATGACCAATCCTATCACCAAGGTAGTGAGCATAGTACCTATTAGTTGTTTTTTCAACCCTTGTGCTCCTCCCTTCCTCGCTCCTCTAGTCCCCACTGACTAATGTTCCTATATTTATGTCAATAAGTACCCAATGTTTTGCTCTCACTCATAAGTGAGAATATGCATTAATTCACTTAGGGTAATGGCCTCCAGCTCTATCATGTTGCTGAAAATGACATAATATCATTCATTTTTATGGTTGTATAGTATTCTATGGTGTATATGTGCCACATTTTCTTTATCCAATCCACCATTAAAGAACACCTAGTTTGAGTCCATGTTTTTGCTACTGTGAATAGTGCTGCAATGTACAGATACAGGGGCATATGTCTTATTGGTCAAATGACTTATTTTCTTTTGGATATATACCCACTAATGGAACTGCTGGGTCAAATGGTAGCTCTGTTTTAAGATCTTTGAGAAATCTTGAAACTGCTTTCCAAATTGCTAAACTTATTTACATTCTGACCAACAATGTATAAGCATTCCCTTTTCTCCATAGCTTCACCCATATCTGTTGTTTTTGACTTTTTAATAATAGCCACTCTGACTGGTGTGAAACAGTATCTCATTGTGGTTTTGATATGCATTTCACATTGTGTCATTTTTTTTAAAGTTCCTAACTACATTTCATATTATTACCCAACTGATTTATAACCACTTAGAGTCATAGAAAAATAATAAATAAAGTTGAGTATGAAATACATACCACAGGATTTTCAAAAATCTGCCAGAGGTCATTGTTATAATGAGAAGTATTGTAATTAGCAGTAGATAATAGCCTTCCAAATTCATTTCTATTAGAAATGTACATAAACACACCCTATATGCCAGAAAATAACAGTATTAATTTTAGAGGCAGGAACAAAAGTAAATTTAATCATAGGAAAACACAGAAGATATTAATTTCATTTTTATATTTCATTTATGAACATGCATTTTTAGTATTCATATAAAATGTGCATGGTTTAAAATAAAAAACTCAAACTTTGATGATGAATTCAGACACCACACAAAACTAACATAAAACTGACACTCAACTGAAAAAAAGAAGAATGGACTGTTTTTGTCCCTTTCTCATTGATTCTAGATGTAGACATCAGGGAAAAAAATCCTTTTTGAAAGCAGAAATATTTTCGAGACACAAGTGCAATGAATTACACCTCTTTTGGCTTCTCTCTCTTTCAGAGAAAGAATTACATTTTTAAACATGAATTCACTGCCAGTCATATTTCACCAGTCTGTTTCATTCCTTTCTTTTTCTAATGCTTAAAGACTAACACAAATGAGTCATGCATTAAAAAGGTAGATTAAAAAAAAACAGTCTCATATTCTTGCCCCAAACCAGACAAATGTGGAAAACACCATACAGTAAGGTTGTTTCTTTTTGGACCTGTTTTAATGGTAAAAGAGTTAGTGATTAATAACTCAATGAAGTGCACCTAAACCTTACTGTAATCAAATCCTATTTTATACCTACTTCTATCCTCTTCTCACCCTTTAAAAAAGAAATAAAAACCTAAAAAAAGAATGAAAGGGACTTAGGTTTAACTTTCTCATCTGTCGACCATAAAATATAAATCAGCCCAAAGAACCAAGAGTTGACTGTCGCACAAGACCCATGCCCAAGTCACATAACACACACACACACACACACACACACACAGATGACTAACTGATGAATACCAACATTTTACCAAGCTAAATGCAAGTAAGGTTCTTAAAGAAACTTTACTGCTAGGCAATAGACTATATCAAATATTAAATAAACAAAAATAAATAAAAATAACACCTTTGGGGGGCTGAGCATTTGGAATGTTTCCGGAGTAGGGGAGTCTTTTTCCCTTTGTAAAGTCTAAAATGAAGAGAAGCATTGGGTAAGTTGACCTGTACACCTGCTCTCTCAGGTATTCTTTGGTAAATAAAAATAATAGCAGCTGTTGATCAAAAGCTAACATTCCGAAATGTCCTTCACAGACAACATGCAGAACAAGCAAAGCTTATAGCACACACAAAGAAACATCTCCAGGTCTTTCAGCCCTTTGTTTTCTTTTCTTTTTTTGGGTGTGGGGGGTGGGGGTCAAACAAAGTCTAAGCTCATTCCGTAGCAGAACTTTCATTAGACACATAAGACAAAGGAAAAAATGAGTAAGAGAGGCCATTCCCTGATGCGCTGTCGAGTCAAATTAGCCAGACGTGAGCACAAAATACAATCACAAGTACTGAGGATATTCAATAATAACAATGCACATAGGTTTGTAGAGAAAACAAACATATTCAAACAACACATGCTTTGTTAAACTGAGAAAAGAAATACTTGCCAACTTTTCTGATTTTTCTTGAAATCACAATTGCTTGTATAAATTTAGAAATAAAAAAATACCCTATCATTTCTAAAACCAAAAATCATATAAATATGTTCTAAAACATATTTATATATTTTGAAAAAATATTTTCTAGTCATTTTAAGTTTTATAATGAAAGTGTATTTGTAGTGCAGCAATGTATCATTAATATTTTATTTAGAGTAAATATATTATATATCTTAACCCTTCTACCAGTTTGGTGGTAAGAATCATGCTTTGTAAGAATGTGAAGTTAATAATAATCCTTAAAAGTTCATCTAGTTAGAGAAAATATGGACATTAATTTTAGGACAGAAATTTTCTTAAATGTGGAATTATTATTTCATCAAAGCTTATCTAATTAATTTTAATTAGGTCAAGTTTTCACTACAGAATTTCAAACTAAAGTAAAGATGTATTCTTGAAAGAGCAAAGCTGATTTGTAACAAATTCATCTTAATTACAGAAATCCAACTCTGTTGCCTATGAATTAGCCTGAGCATAAAAACTAACATTTTTCATACCATTTCTACAAGTAAATGTTAAATTATCTCCAAAATTGCTCCCAAATTTTCAACACAGAACCAAAAAAATTGGCTAGTACTTACAAATTAGCAAGAAAAAGGGCATCAAAACACAGTGACATACCAACTGGTAAAGCAAGCCATCTTATAAGAACATTCAAACAAGCCATCATTGCATATCTTACCATTTCTCTAGCATTTCGACAAAGAGCCATATCAGGATCCAGTTTATCACGAACAAAATAGTTCCTTTCATTCATCTCTGATCGGAGTGTCTTTCCTTTAATTAAGTACACATTAGCCATGTATGGGACATTCCATACTCCTCTGAAAGTAAAGAGAAGACATTCTTAAATACCACAAATACAAACAATTTTAAGTTTCATTTTTGCATTTTTAAAATAAATGTTTTGTGTTTAGATTTTGTACACATAAACCAACATGTGAATACACAAACATATTGAATGATATTTGCCCTATATATGTGATTACATTGCATACACTGTAGCTAATGAGATTTAGGAGACAAACCACTGTCCCTTTGGATACATTTCAATTTGGGGTTGGTGTCTGTTTGGCATTTTTATTTTAACTGTCATATCTCAATTAGTTGTTATAGTTAGACTATTATATTCTATTGTATGGAAGGTTTTTTTACTTAAAATTTAAGAATTTGATAGCATGAATCATAACGTACAACCAGTGCTGCACTACACCCAGCTCATACTGGTTCCCTAGAGTTAACTTTTAATGCCAAGTCCATGTTCAGTAATTTCACATTGGAAACTTGAAATCAGCTAGGATAGAAGGACTTACACCAAACAAATGGACAAGCACTTTAAATCAGGGAATCTTCCACCTTCAAAAGCCAGTTGTTACACATTTACCAGCATACCACTGAATATAGCCTAAAATTCTCCAAAATTGTTTTATCATACCATTCATTAAGCCATCTTAAATACTATACAGAAAACTGAAAACATGAAGAAATACAGCTGGGAGTATATGAATGTTGGGAGGCTCTTTTGTAATTCATTCTTTCCCACATCTGTATTCTCACTCTGAACAAGACTCACTTCGTAAAACCTTCAAGAGAAGTTTTGCCTATAAGGTTGTGACTTGTTTTCAGAGAACATTAAGGCAAGATCTTAACCAAGGAAATATAGTTAGATATTAAAAGAAATATGATATTGTGTCTTACTAAACCAGCCTCAAAGAAAAACGCCTTAAGGAGTACAGCAGTCCCCACCTTATGTGAGGGTGATAATTCCATGACCCCAGTGGATGACTGAAAGCAGATAGTACCAAACCCTACACATAGGGTACTATGGTTTTTTTTTCTACACATACATACTTATAATAAAGTTTAATTTATAAATTAAGTACAGTTAGACTGACAATAGCACAACTATAACAATATATTATAATAAATATCATGTGAATGTTTACACTTTCTCTATCTCAACATATCTTATTTTCAAACCACAATTGACTTGAAACCATGGAAAGTAAAACCACAGATAAGGGGAATTACTGTATACAGTGTGTCAGCTAAATTCAGAAATTAATATCTGGGGAATTATTCAGTGTTTCAACTTACACACACACACACACACACAAACATTTAGCTTCTTCATGTAGCTTTTGGACATGAAGAGTATTCTGTATCAAAAGCCTCTACCATATTTTTTTTCCTTACACTTCAGACAACAATGATAGGAGGTTGGACAGAAAAATACCAATGCCGAAAGCAACCTGAAACATGAATCTTCCATTCTACTTTCACAAACTTTCATTTTGGATGTGCCCAAAGATACTTTCAGGTATACTATCTATACAACTCATGCAGAGTCAATACAACTGCATAGAAATGACAGAATATGATCTTACTAGTGTTTTCTCATCTACCATACATTTTAAGTGCAGCTAACAAAAAGCTTTATTGTATTTACATAATTCAAATTTAAGTTTTCTACACCACTTAACTATTTACACAACCAACACATCTTTTTACCACTCAACTGTTTGAAAAGAAATATGTGCCTTTTTTTTTTCTAAATTTAAGGGCACATTCTTTTAGTATTGAGAATGTATTTCCTCTTTTTAATCAGGCTGACATGTTTGAGAACTAAGGCAAAGCACATAATGTCTTAGTTACTCTGGTCCATCATATGTATGAAAAAAGAATGACATTTTTCACCAATATTACTTTAGCAAAACTATTTCAATTGTAATTAGTTTTAAAAATATCAACCATTGTCTCTGAAATAAATCATATACTTTTCAGCAAATATATTCCTTTCAATCTCTAGAAATGAAAATCTAATATTGGTGAAGAAACTTATATTTAAAGCAGAATAATAGCTATTTCACACAAAAAACTCATGAAATCAGGAATACTGGAATTTTCTGGCTGTCAGTGTTATTGTTGACTTAATTATAAATTTTAAAACCTATCAAAATAACCGTTAATTATACTCATTAAAAAGTTAGCAAACTAAATCCCCTTTCCAAACTTTTAACCCAAGAGTATTACTCTTTTATCAACCACAATGTGAGTATGGTAACCACATATAATCTCTTAGTATTCCCCAAAGCAATGAGCTTGTTCCATTAAGGATCTGGGACTTTAAAAACATTTTCTAAAAATAGGAGTTTATATTGGTATTTCAGGATTCCAAGTGGTCTCAGGTTCTCAAATTCCCATTAACTAAAAAGAAAAGAGACGAATACAAAAAAAATTTCAAGTAATATTAGCAAGACTACATCTTTAGATTATGGTATTTTATATTAAAATATTAAGTCAAGTAACTTACACTCTATTTCCTTGAACAATGTCCACATAATCTTCAGATCGTGCATAGTATCCATCAGGACTCAATGCTCCCCAGAAATTGGACCATAGCTTTCCATGACGAGTTACAAGAGGAGCAATAATCTTTCTAAAGAGAGAAAGTGAGAGAGAAAAAACTCATATATTTATTTATTTTTAAATTATGACAGAATTATGTATTTTGGGCTTTGCATGACACGTAACACAATAGAGCTCATTTAACATACCTGCAGTTAATAAAAATAGAATAAGGATCTTCTTTTCCAATATCTTTGCTTAAATAAGCATATTGCTAATTTTCAACCATATTTCTTAAAAAAGTAACAAAGAAGGAAAAAGTAATTGAAAATGCCAATGAATATATAAAAATGACTTTTAAAAATGCCTTGCTTACACCCAAAGTAAGGAAAGTACTTTAGTTCATTTAATTTATTTAATTATATTTAAATTTAAGTATTTCAGAACCTATATTAAATGAAACCAAATATTTTCATTGTCACTGGGCGAGCAACAGCCCCTGGTGCATTTAAGGTATTCAATTAGTATTTGTTGAATGAAAAAAATGAATGAAGATTAACTGAGACATTTGTAAATAGGCAAGTTTTCCTGTAATTAAGTCTCAAATTATTTAACTATGTTTCCAGTTTTCCATGACTTTTAAAAATGACTTGTGATTACATTAACTAGTCCCAGGAACACTGAAATTTCCTTTAAATATTTTAGAAAACAAATTTATGGAACAACTATTCTCCACCAAAAAAACCAAAACTATTTCACAATACCTCTATCTTGTGAAGACCAGCCAGGCCCCTTCTATTACATGCATAAAAGTGAAATAGAATAAACACACATCATGCAGAATAATAAATTTTGGTTTATTCTTCCAAATTCCTACTAAGCTATTAATCAGAAACACCTATTTTATTTTATTTTGAATACTTACAATATTGTAAATAATAACCTAAATTAGAATCTACATATATTAATTTGGGAAATAATTCAATATCAATAACTGACAATAACAAATATTTTAAAAGAACTTGTTATTTATAATCCCAGCTGCCTCCTCAAAAGGGTTAAACCAACAAATTTGGGAAACCAAAATCTATCTGCTGTGTATCTCAATATTGTTGTGCATGAAAATGTAAAGACGACAGCTGAAGAACAACTCATATTATTATACAATTTAAGTAGTAAAATTTAGAGCAAGGGAGCAAATAGAGACAGGAAGAGGAGAAGAAAAAAGAGCTGATGAGAAGCTAGAAAGTCACAGGCCCAAGATGTGTCACATCTCTTTCTCTAGCCTTCATTCAAATCTACTAAATCTTGCAATATTTCTGGCATATTTGAATAGCTTATGGAAACCACATGTTTTGATACAGAAGTATTACATAAACCTAAAATTTTGATAACTAACAGAAATCCATGGAGACATAGCCTGAGTTTTACTCTTTAAGGGGGAAGGGCCCCAGATGGCAGGTAAGTTCCTTATAAGGGAATTGTTTTTTATTTTCGAAAATATTTAATATTAAGGAGGATATATGTCAAATACATAGCATAAATTCATTAGTTAACTAAGATAATAATAAATACCTAAATCATAGAGCCATAAAATGAAAATATCTACATACTATTAAAAAGCACATCTGCATTACATACTATAGCATTTCAATCAAATTAAGAGAAAACAATGCAAATTCAAGAAAATAATACTGAACTAAACTAGGTATAAGAGTTACAAATCATATACTATCTCATATCTCTAGGGTATCACAACTGTTTTTCCTTGCCAAATGATCAAAACCTCATTCATACGCTTTGGAAAATGACCTACAATGTATAGATAGTTAACTTAGAAATTAAGCATCTATAACACAGCTATACACTTGGGCTATATATACAGATTGCTACAGAGAGGTCTTAGATTTTGAAGTAATAACTAAATTCTCAAATTTACAAATTCTAGTGACATATACATATAGATATTATATATAGGGTGAGTTAATACTATATTTCCCAAGTACTTTTACTTAGCAAAATTAAAACAATCATTCTAACATTTCATCTGTTAAACATTCTATTTATTATGAGAAATAATGGTGTTAAAACATGTAGTTACAATACCTGGCAGTTAATAAGACTTGTTAAAGGTGAGCTCTTAGCAGGAGTAGTAAAAATATTATTACTAATATTAGCAGTAGTATCAACAAAGATTAATATTATTGTAAGTTGATATACATGGTGTCTTTTTCCCATGTCAATTGGGTTAATTGAACAAACAATCGCTGTCCAATGATAATTAGTTCAATAGTAAATAAAGCTACAAATATGAATGTGGGATGATTTATACCTCAGAAATTTCTTTCTGATACTAAAGACTACAACTCTGTATGCAGTTAACTATTTTGGTCAGAACTTTTGAGAAATTCTACTTTAAAAATATCTATAGAGGATAAAACAACTCTAAACATTAGTATCAGATATATCATAATTTCACCTAGCTTTAAACAGCAAAATAAGCCAAGTAATTGTATTTGTGATTATAACTAACATTAAATAGTTGTAGATGGTATTCAGGTTGTTTTCTATGACTCCTTTAGATGAAAAATAAGTAGAGTGTAACTAAGTTCTCTCAATTTACTAAACACACAATAACTAAAGTATGTTCACATCAGTATGAAAATGATCATTTTAATAATAAATTGATGTTGAGTTTTTGACAGTACCTGTTTTGTTCAATCAAAATTTTTAAAGTCCTTGGATTTGTCAAAACAACATCTGCATCCACACTAAAGTAATAATCACAATTTTCATCCTGACGGCAAAAGTCCCTAACATTGAAAAAGAAAATTAAATAGGCATGAGATATATTTAATCTTAAATTTCACAGTGGTCAATTTAACACAGGTATTCACAGGGAGATCACCTCCAAAATTTTAGGCCAATTGCAATATATTTTCGAGCCACTAAATATTTTAAGTCATAAAACGTCTACATATCAAAATGTTTTTGCATACATTACATGCAAACAAATACAACTAGTATATCCCACAACTCAGTTTTAAACGAATGTTGGAGATGTAAGTTTATGGCTTTTCAGGTATTAATATTTTTAAAACTTGATTTGCATGATTTTTCTAAGATAGTTATTCCTCTGCCTTCTTACCAAGGCCAGTGACTATGTTTGCTTTCCCTGGTACAGTCTGTAATGTTATCATCAGGAATATCAAGGAATGAACAATTTGAGATACCAGATGACATTTGGGTTATCAGCTTCCCACCTCTCAGCTTCCCTCCCTCACTGCGGGTCCCAGTTAGCACTTTTTGCTGTTGTCAATGTGTGTCTCCACACCACATCTGTTCGAAGCAACTGTCACACAAAATACCAGACACAAACACTTGGTACAATCATGAAAAAAATTTAAGAAAATGTGTTTAGAATTTAGACCCAGAGGATTCTCCAATGAATAAATTATAGAATGATTATTAATAATACTTGTTTGGTTTTTCAGAGGCCTATTTTCTGTCTATCCCTACATCCCCAACCTAGTCAGAATCCAACCCTCTGGGCCTTCAGCTTCCACAGCACAGGCATGAGGATTCAAAGTAGATAAGACTAATTCCTGATGAGAATGGCTCATGTCTTCACCTTTTTATGAGGCTCCTAACATACTTGCTGGCATATTCAATTAACATTCATTGAATAAATGATTGTTTTTACTATTATCAGAGTTTATTAGTAGAATGAAGTATTATAAGGGCTAAACAAAAGGCCTACAATACCCCTTTTTAGTTTTACAGTATTATTTAGATCAGTGGGTAACTGGAGAGTAAGAGCACTCTTTTTCCCTCACCATCTAAAAACACAGTTTTACCATACACAACTTTCAGAGCATACTTTTAAGTCATTGCTATAAAAGTCATACTATTCATTTATTTGCATTTTTAAAAAATACTGATGTGTAGTTTGATTAAATATGTTAACTTGTAGTCATTTTTTAAAAAAAGTAACTTCTATAGACCTTTACGTATAAATACATACATAGACACACTCTAACAGTTAGCTACTGCTTACACAAACACAGATAAATAGTCTGAGACACCCAAATATGGCATAAAAATTTTATTAACAACTTATTTTTTCTTAGAGTTTCTTTAGAATAATTTAATTTAATTTTAATTTATTAAAACATACATTCCCATGTTTCTGGCTTCCGCTTGACTTAAATTTTCTTCTGGTCCTACTATTTTTATAGTTTTGATTTCATGTTTAGCTTTATCAAAAAATACCTTGATGTCCTTTTCATGATAAACTTCCTGTAAAATATTTTGAAAATCAAATATTAGAGAGAAAATAAGATAATAAGCTGACTGGAGTATTCATATGTAAAGAGTGCTTCATATTCAAAGTCGTGAATTCTACAATTCAGATATTCAATTACACGTAAAATAATAACAATATTAAATGTCACATAAATAATCTTAAATACATACGTCAATATTCTTAAAAGAGAAGATGCTTTAAAATTCTGTCAACATCTGCTATACAAATCTTTGTATAAATACTTAAATCTTTAATAGGTTCTTGCATAAATACTTAAATCCTTAGTACTATAAAATGTTTCCAATTGGAGAAGAAAAATATGACCTGTAGCCTGGAAATCTTAGTGGTAAAATATCGAGAAAAAAATGTCTATTAAGCATAATAGCCATCAATCTGAATTATAAATTTAAATAATCACATTTTACAAAATACTCTTTAAAACCAGAGAATAAAGTAAATGGTCATATAAAACTTTTTTATTTAGCAAAAAAAGGAAAAGTTTAAGAATATTCCACAGACAGATTACTGGAAAAACCATCAACATAAATGTTACCAATTTTAGTGTGATTCAACTATGCTAAAATTCAGATAAGATTATCTGTCTCCATCATTAGAGCATTTCAGAGATTTTTATTTGTCAAGTCTCTAAGTTTTCTGAAAAGCTGTTCCTTTTTTGCAGATTGTTCAAATCACTTCACATAAAAGCAACATAGAGTTAATACTAAATAACAGAAGATAAGACAAAAAATTCCTCCATCAAGGAGTTTAAGGCCCTATGAAAGGAGGAAAAATATAAATAAATGACAATACATAAAAACAAAATACTTTAGTGTAAGCATATGTGTTATAACATATTTTACAAAGCAAATGCTCAATTTTTCATCCCTTTAAACCGATTTAAGCTGGTTTTCTGCAAAGTTAAAATATTCTCTAGAAAATGTGAATGGTTAGCTAACATGTACATTAGGAAAAATGAATAACTGTAAACAATATTAGGACAGAAGATAAAAAATTGCATACTTCACAGCTATTGAGTTTTTCTAGAATAGGTTAAATACCAACTGTTTTAGTAGAAAAGAGATAAATAACTGAAAAAATATTAACCAAAAAATCTCTAAGTTTAGATAATATGTGGGAGGTATGTAGGAGGCTCTGAATATTTTTGAAGAAAATGACTGTATCAAAATCCTTTGGGGAAGAGCATGCCATTGTGTGCTTAATCAAAACAGTACTCTATCTGGAAACTGTTACAAGTTCTGATGATTTGTTATTGTCTTAAATTGCAAACAATTTAATGATAATTCTTTAAAAGAAAGTACCAAAACTAACCCAAAGGCAAAGGGATTTAAGGCCCTTTTACGGCTCCTTTGTTATATATTAATTGAAGCTATATGATGATGGCTAATGTTCAGCCATTTTTGATCTACAGAAACTGGCAGTTTCATGTGGCTCATACCAATATTGCGGTGCTAGTCCCTAGATTCTAAAATCCTTAAGTCCTAAAAAGGCAGGGCTGTAATTACTCTAAAAATCCTCCACTGAACTTAGCCCAGTGAATTTTATTAGACACAAATTATATAACAAATTATTCCAAAAAAGACCAAAAATAGTTTTTACATAAAATATTGATTTCTCAAATACTTACTTTGTTATGAATAAAAAGTTTAAGAGCTTCTTTTGGGTAATCCAGTGTCAACAAAATGTCCAGAAACCGAGGTAGAAAAGGGGTTGGTTGCTCAATAAAAACACCTATTGTTACATTTGGATGGACCTTTGTTTTACACCAAACATAAAAAAAAAATACATTAGTGTAGTTTTATTTTAAATTGTATTCAATCTTAATCAGCATGACATTAAAAAATGCTAGAATACCAATTCAACATAATCTGCTAAATGTGAATTGCCCCGTGGCAGTTCTCTAACACTTGAAACAAATTTTTGTGCCCCCGCCCCCCATCAAAGTCATTTTACTGAATCCCATCTTGGTTAAGAGTTAGGTTTAAATATGAAATTATCACATTTATTACATGAATGTAATTCATGGTACTGCCTACTCTACTAGTCAACGCTTCCTTTAAAATAGCCCTTACAGAAACTTCTTCACATCTGAAAGCTATATTGAAAGCTTCATCTAAGAAACCAAATACTAATTGTGTTTCTCTTTTTGTGTTCAGGGCTGATAGCTATTTTCTTTCATTAATATTAATATCTCATGGTAATGTCTATATTTTAATATATTTTCTTAAGTTCTCTTTAGATATGTTTTAATGTGGAGTTTATCCTACATTAATTGCACTAACAATTTTGAAGTATACATTATACATGCCAATCTACATGATGGGCAATATTTAGCAAAAGGAATGAAAGTTCCTGGCTTGAAAGACTTACAAGTAGATGGGGAAGGCAGAAACAAGTAACACCCATGTAAGAGTGTCATTACCAGAAATCTATGAAAGACTTGTTTTTTAATGTCTTATTAAAGCTATGGAAGTCTTCCAGAAATCTATGGAAGACTTGTTTATAATGTCTCATTAAAGCCATGTCTTAAAGTCTGAACAAAACAATTACAGATGTTTTTAAATACCTTATACATTAAGTGTTGAATTAGTAACCTCCTTCCATTTTTTCACACATGGTACCTCACACATTCCTCCATTATCTGTATAATAATATATGCTCTCATAAAAGTATACATTGTCCACTATCATAACTTCTTTAGTCATTCACTTGCCCAAATACATTAGTAAATAAATAAATACAAAAAACAAAACACAATTATCTACTCTCTAGTAGTTCTCGATTTAATAGGAAAAAAAATTAAAAATAGATCACAACTCTCCTTTACCAAATGACATGATACATTTTATTTAATGTTTATAAAAGCCTTAGAAGTTATTTTCCCAAACTTGCATGAAGAAAATGAGATTTAGAGAAATTTAAATAACCCAGAACACATATATGTGTAGGTAAAGTGCTGGGTTTTGATCCTCTACTTCACCATTATTAACCTAAGTTCATGTTTATATAATAATAACAATATAATAGTTAACATTTATTGAAGGCTGACCACTTCATACATGTATACTAAATTTACACAAATAAAATATCATTTATATATTCATTATATAAATTCATCATATGTATGTGTGTAAAATTTCATTTAACATTCCTAACAACACTCTGAGATAGCCACTATGACTTTACATACAAAGAAACTTGCCTATATCTCCATCTAACATTATGACAGGCTTGGGATTTAACTACATACACAATTTTGATTTTTCTATCCCTACTGAAAAATAACTGCATATAGCACATAATCTTATTGTGCATAATGGAAAGAAGAGCTTTCTCTTCTAGCACATTTTAACAACCTCTAAGACAAAATAGCTTAAGTATCAAATTATGTACTCCTATATGCAAAAGGAAAAAATGTTAATACAAATATTTTTCCATCTTTGCACCGGAAAGTTTATATAAAAGGAAACAAAACAGATAAAAAGTATTAACTCGCCCTCAAGAAGACTACATTATTTTCAACAAAAAAGATCAGGATAAATTTTTAAACATCTTCATGATGCAGCTTCATTCAGAAATATTCTGGTATGCTTGCCAGATAGGAAACAGTTTGCTATCTGAGAGACCAGCCAAAAAACTTACTTTCAAGTAAAACAGGGCTCTCTACTCATAAGCTCCTACATGTACACAGGTTACTCTTTATACTCCTTTCAGACAATGATAAGAAGAGAAACTAACTTAGGCGCTTGAACATATTACATATTTTGCATTTGCATGGGTTCAGAAGTTAGTAGTGCTTAATTTTTGCCTATATTGCTTCTACATTATCTGGCTGCTGTAGGTACTCAATAAACCTATGGAGAATGAAGGCCAAAATCAATCTTAATGACAAAATAACTCCCTAGAATCAACTGTTCATACACATAATCTTCCAAGTTATGAGAACAATGTTTTTTTGGAAGAAAAATGTTACTGTAGAATATCAGCTCTGGCTGATGTTAGAACCAAGATACATAAAAATGTTTTATAGATTGATAATAAATATGTTTAACTCTTTGTTCACCCTTAAAACATGAATGATAAAATCTAACAATAATTGTCTATGAAATACATACAAGTAGCACCATGCCAAGCATAAACATTTCATACAGGTAAAAATGCACAGTGTCAAGAATATAGTCTGGAGCCAGACTCCCTAAATTCAAATCCCAACTCTAAAACTTAAAATTGTGTCCCCTTAAACACATTACTTATATTTATGCACCTTAGTTATATCATCTGCAAAACTGAGTCAATTATACTACCTACTTCAGGAGTTTTGTAAAGTTTTAAAGCGTTACTATATGTAAAGTAGTTAGAACAGTCATTTGTTATATAATCAGGCAGTATTAATTTTTAATCGCCAATTTTGAAAATCCAGCACAGAAAAAATTAGTCAATAAAAATGCTGAAGACTTGTAACAATTTTTTCTCAATGCTTTAACTAAGGTAACAGACTAAACATAAGGGTACCCAATCATAATAAGCTATTAATATTAACCAAAGGACTCTTTCATTGGGTTCAATTATTAGCTGGTTTGTCTTTCAAAAACAATTCTGAAACACAAATCTAGCAATTGGCTGAATCACCATGTTTTAATACTACTATTTTGTTATCTATCATACAATGAAAACTGTAAAATAATTTGCCTTCTTTTCTATAAATCACAGTATTTTGTAACAATGTACTTTCTACCTTAAATTGCAACAATGTACTTCCTATTACTACATTTTACACATAATCAATTCCACTTACATCCACTGCAGACAAGTCAACTGTATCAAATTCACAAAGAGTGCAGCCATTATCCTGTGTCCATGAATTGGGTACATAGTTTCCAAAATAATTCAGGAGAATCTTGTAAATGAAGAAAAATGTTATTAATGAAAGCAGGCCTCTCTCATCAATGCGCTTTCATTCTACAATCATCTAATTTAAAAGCATGTTTTCTGCAGTATTTTCCTTTAGTAATTCTAATATATCACCTATAGGTGCACACTGAATAGTTTTGTCCAGAATATAAATTGTAAAGCAGGAAAAAATATGTCTCGAAATGCCAAAAATGTCTTATAAATCATAAAGTTCAGCTTATTTCATATTATATTAGAAATACTACTGGAAAGGGTGATAAAAAAAAGCAAACAATGAAACAGGAGTTTTAAATGGGCTAGTGAGTCTTACTAGGAATGATACAAATAAGAGTTACACAAATAGTAATTTAGAAATAAGATAAACCTGTTTAAAGGCTGAGCACAGACACCTACAGTAAATGGGGCAGTGGTAATGTGACCTCTAACTAATACCACACCACACAAAACCAATCCTAAGTAAACTTTGTCACCAAAAGACACTAAGCTCTTCCAGGGAACTGTGCTACTATAGGCTAAGCTTCTGGGCAGTGATTCAGGGTACTGATTCAGGAAAAGATAGCTTGCAGATCAAAATAAATCTAGGGCAACCCCTAATAACAGTAACCCGACAAATCCTATTGAGAAAGTTAAGTACAGTAGTACTTCTCTACCCACCTTCTTTCAGATCTTTCTGAGGATCTCCTTTGTGAGGTATCTGTCCTGAAACAACTATTGGCATTCATTTTAACTGTAAAAAAAAAAAATCTGTGCTTTTCTGCCTGTTTTGGGGAGGGGTAATATGAGGGAGGATGGACAGGTGACAGAGGTAAACACACTTAGATTTGCTCTGAGCTTTCAAAAAAAAATCTTTACTATCCCTAAAATTTGAACATGTTACAGAAAATCCTGATGACTATATAATAAGCGAAATTACTACATCTTTTGAATTTTAATACCCAGTACTGGTATGAGCATTTATGTTTAAAGATCTTTTAAACTTTTCTTTCCACAAACTATAAAAAAGTTTTCCACATGCTATTAAAAAGAAGCACCACAATCTCCATTATATGATCAATAAGTTTTCTCTGGAACAGTAAAATGAAATCAAAAGAAAAAAAGTCTGTGTTAAACATGGGGATCAAAAAATGTACAAAAGTGTCAACTAGAGTTTTCTAGATTCTTAAAGTTCTAAAGGAGATGTTAAAGTGTAGCATACATGAAGCAGTTGGGTACCATTTTGCCAGAATCCTCTCACATATCTGGGATCCTGTTCAAATCTTCTTATTGTACTGAAACTTTGAAACAAATACTGCTGAAACAAGAACTTTAATTAAAATGGGATGATCTTTGTGGTTGTACAGATATTACAGCTATAGCTACATTTAATCTCTACAGCAAAATTAGAAGACATGGACAAGTAAAGCATTTGCATGTCTTCTGGACTCCAGGATAATTCAGAGAACAAATTAAAAGGCAGGAAATATGTAGTCATGATGTTAATGACATTTCACGAGTCAATGTGGTCATTTTAATGTGTCTTGATAATAAAAACAGAAATAAATATTTTACTGTTGTCAAATGACAAAGCAAACATTAATCATTTGTGTTCTATAAAATATCATGGTTTTGAAAGAAAAATATCAATGTGGAAATGTATCACCTATGTAGCATTATTTTTTAAAAAGATGAAGAATATGCAAGTGTTAAAAGCATAGTTTTATTTAAAATATTCTGGGAAAAAAAATTTTAAAGACAGGAAATATTTCCCAAATATTAGGCCATATCTAAAATCTCCATTACATAGAAAGAGTGGTACTACCCCCATCTCAGAAATCTTATTAAAATGTAGGATTTATTTCATAAATTATTGATTAGTCTACTAGAATTGCTATATGAATATAAACATGATCACTAGTTTTAAAATGTTAGAGCACAAAAAAAATAATAAAAATAAAATAAAATGTTAGAACACAAAGGACAGCACTTTTAGTTTTCAGAATTAAAACCAACACTGTTCTACTTCTGTTTTTTACCTCAATGTGTTTCCTAGATAACTAAGATATTTTAAAAACATTACTTTTGACTAGAAACTTCCCACTTTTGGACCTCTCACCAAACAAGCAAATGTTATCCACATCACTACACCCCATTTACATCTGTTTTTTTTCATGAAAACTGTAGACATTTCTGCTGGAAGCTCTAGATAATGCAGGCGGCTATTTATGCAGTTAGGCTGTTCTGGACACTCCTGGCCGACTAGGTGGTAGTATTTTCCTGATTCTTCTTTCACAATATCAAAATGTTTCCAAGTATGATGTCATTTTCATTTACAGAGAAACTTTTCCACCCAAATCCTTTCCTCTTTCTTCCTTTTAAATATTATATCGAATTATTCAAGGTCACAGTGACCCAAATACTACAGTTTCAATGCACAAAATTAATATCTCTATTTTTACTACAAATCAGTTTCAGAAATGACTTATGTTCATGTGTAGATAAGGTCATTTGATCGTCCTCTGTTGAATTTCTTTTTGTAATCAATGTGCAAAAATCACAAGCATTCTTATATATCAATAATAGCCAAATTATGAGTGAATGGCTATTCACAACTGCTACAAAGAAAATAAAACACCTAGAAAGACGATTTACAAGGGATGTAAAAGAACTCTTCAAGGAGAATTACAAACCACTGCTCAAGGAAATAAGAAAGGACACAAACAAAAAAATTTTCCATGCTCATCTATAGGAAGAATCAATACCATGAAAATGGCCAAACTGCCCAAAGCAATTTATAGATCCAGTGGTATTCACATCAAGCTATCACTGACTTTCTTCACAATACTAGACAGATTAAAAAAAAAAAAACCACTTTAAATTTCATATGGAACCAAAAAAAAGTCTTTAAAGCTAAGACAATCCTACGCAAAAAGATCAAAGCTGGAGGCATCACACTACCTGACTTCAAACTATACTCCAAGGCTACAGTAACCAAAACAGCATGGTTCTGGTACCAAAACACATATATAGACCAATGGAACAGAACAGAAGCATCAGAAATAACACCAGACATCTACAGCCATCTAATCTTCAACAAACCTGACAAAAACAAGCAATGGGAAAAGGATTCCATATTTAATAAATAGTGCTGGAAAAACTGACTAGCCATATGCAGAACAGAAAACTGGACCCCTTCCTTGCACCTTATACAAAAGTGAATTCAAGATGGATTAAAGACTTAAACCTAAAACTATAAATATCCTAAAAGAAAACATAGACAATACCATTCAGGACATAGGCATGGGCAAAGACTTCATGACTAAAACGCCAAAAGCAATGGCAACAAAAGCCAAAACTGACAAATGAGATTTAGTTAAACTAAAAAGCTTCTGCTCAGCAAAATAAACCATCACCAGAGTGAACAGGCAACCATAAGAAAGAGAGAAAATTTTTGCAATTTATCCATCTAACAAAGGTCTAATATCCAGAATCTATACGGAAGTTAAACAAATATACAAGAAAAAAAAAACATCAAAAAGAAAAGTGAGTGAAGGACATGAACAGACACTTCTCAAAACAAGACATTTATGTTGCCAACAAACATATGAAAAAAAGCTGCTCGTCATCACTGGTCATTAGAGAAATGCAAACAAAACCACAATGAAATAACATCTCATGCCAGTTAGAATGGCAGTCATTAAAGTCTGGGAACAATAGATGCTGGTGAGTATACAGAGAAATAGAAATGCTTTTATACTGTTGATGAGAGCCTAAATTAGTTCAACCATTGTGGAAGACTGTGTGGTGATCCCTCAAGGATCTAGAACCAGAAATACCATTTGACCCAGCAAGTATATACCCAAAGTATTATAAATCATTCTACTATAAAGACATATGCAAACATATATGAACTTCACACCACATACTGGGGCCTATCGGAGGGTGGGAGGAAAGGGGAGGGAGAGCATTAGGACAAATACCTAATGCATGCAGAGCTAAAAACCTAGGTGATGGGTTGATAGGTGCAGCAAACCACCATAGCACATGTATATTTATTACAAACCTGTACGCTCAGCACATGTATTCCAGAACTTAAAGTAAAAATTTTTTTAAAAGCTACCAATTTTGTAATTACTTTAAGATGTATATTGTTTGATATTTAAAAGAAAAGGCTGAACATTAAAATATGCATCTTACATAGTACTCACAATAAATGGATTTCAAGAATAAAAAGTAAAGCTTCAAACTAGAAACCAGTTTCTATCTAAAAATTGATTCATGTTAGATTTATACAGACAAGTATAAAAATAATTAAATACCTAAACATATTTTAAATAAAATGTTAATTAAGAAACACAAAATTGTTTATATGCTTGTAAGAAAACAAATGAAAATATGAATGTTCATAGATATATACTGAGGAGACATAAAAACTGAAGGCAGCTAAGAATCAAAACCATATGGGAAGGCAGTATGTAATTTTTTAAATTATTTAAAATTGTTAAAATTATTTTTTCTAATGGTATAAAACTTGGGGAAATTATGAAATACGCTCATTTTATATACTTTAGTATTATCAACATACTATAAACACTTCACTTACAGATTATGTAAATTTTTAATGAAAAATTGTTTAAATGTTTAGGTCACTATTATGGCTCAAAACACTGTCATTATAAACATCCATTACTAAACAAAATAATAAGTAAAACTAACTTACAAAAATTCATACCAAAAATCCTTCCACCTTTTATAAAGGTCAAAAAAAGTTTGTAGTAATCTGCTTTCTTTTCCCATCAGCCTGGATAAGAATAATATATGACATACTCATTTCTATTTATTAAACTTTAACCTAATATTATAAAGTATTAGCGTTAGTTAAATGTTACATATTCAATTTTTCTCAAGTTTTTGTATTATACCAAATGTACTGTTTATAATGAAACTTCGTATTTTACCATCTAATAGAATAACAACAAAATAAACTAGATAGGAGCATATCAGAGAAGACATGATAGCAGCATCACACAGCTTTAAATGCCAGAAACAGTGACAGTGCAAACTGAAAATGTTTCCAAGAACACTTAGTATTTCTTAGTAAACTTAGGTCTTTCTAAATGATTAAGGATTAGTGCTTCTTTCTTGTGATATGTCCTTTAGCCACTTTTAAAGCTCCAGTCAGCATCATCCTGGAATTTTGGAAGGAACTGGTGAACACGCTGAAATCACTGAACCTAAGGCCTTATCCATAATCACTAATTTCTCAGGACCAAAATCACTCCTTAAAGACATTTAAAGTTTTGAGACACAGTCTCACTTTGTCACAAACACTGGAATGCAGTGGCCTGATCTTGGCTCACTGCAACCTCTGCCTCCCAGGTTTAAGCAATTCTCATGCCTCAGCCTTCAAAGTAGCTGAGATTACAGGCACCCGCCAGATTTTTTTTTTTTTTTTTTTTTTTAGTAGAGACAGGGTTTCATCATGTTGGCCAGGCTGGTCTCGAACTCCTGGCCTCAAATTATCTGCCCACATCAGCCTCCTAAACTGCTGGAATTACAGGGTGAACCACCACACTGGCGTAAATTTGATTACTATATTACCAAGGAAGAATAGCATATTATTTAGTTATGGGAAAAGTGGCATTGTCCCAGCTCTTGACTAACTGGCACTGACAGTATCATAGAGAGCTAAAACAGTATCTATACACATGTAGTAAAGGGATTCATTTATCAAATTTGCCTAGGGAAAGTTACAGTGACCAAGAGTAATTTCTTTTTTTTGAAATAGAGTTTTACTCTTGTTGTCCAGGCTGGAGTGCAATGACATGATCTCGGGTCACTGAAACCTTCATTCCCCAGGTTCAAGTGAGTCTCCTGCCTCAGGCTCTCAAGTAACTGGGATTAAAGGCTTGCACCACCATGCCTGGCTAATTTTGTATTTTTAGTAGCTACAGGGTTTCACCATATTGGTCAGGCTAGTCTCAAACTCCTGACCTCAAGTGATTCACCCACCTCTGCCTTTCAAAGTGCTGGGATTACAGGTGTCCCAACCAACAGTAATTTGATATTGCCAGAAAATAATCTGCCATATTACTCCCAAGAATAATGATAGGTCATAAGATTATTGACTCTAACATTCAATTAAAATTTGCTGAAAGCTTAATATTTGCTACACATGTGCTTGGCCCTGGGTGGGGAGTGGGGGCGGGGGGAGTAAACAAGACAGATAAGATTTCCGTAATTCCTAGACCAAAGCCCTAATAAGTAAGCGAGACAAGAAAACAGGCAAACACCATTCCTGTCCAGTGTGTGATATGTACTGTAATAGAAGTAGTTAGATATTACAAAAGCACACAAGAGACCTGAAGAGTAAAGACTACACTGACAGCCAGGCACGGTGGCTCAAGCCTGTAATCCCAGCACTTTGGGAGGCTGAGGTGGGTGGATCACGAGGTCAAGAGATAGAGACCATCCTGGTCAACATGGTGAAACCCCGTCTCTACTACAAATACAAAAAATTAGCTGGGCATGGTGGCGCATTCCTGTAATCCCAGCTACTCAGGAGGCTGAGGCAGGAGAATTGCCTGAACCCAGGAGGCGGAGGTTGCGGTAAACCGGTATCATCGCGCCATTGCACTCCAGCCAAGATAACAAGAGCAAAACTCCGTCTCAAAAAAAAAAAAAAAAGACTACACTGACACCCAAAAGAAAAGGAGAACTTAGCAGGTAGGGATGCAGCAGGTGGGAATTAGGGGCAGAGGATTCCAGGATAAATAAAAAGCATGTACAGTATACTTTCAGACAAAGCAACATGAAACTTCTGCAAAGTTGAAAGTAATACAGTATTGCTGAGCAGAGAGGGAGAAAGGAAGAGAAATTGAATGTGAGAAGGGTATGAATGTGTGTAGTGTTGTGGGTGAAAGAGTGAACAGGGTGGTAGACTGGTGGCCACTAAAGCAGGAGTAAAATAAAGAGCTCTGTAAGATAAATTGAGAATTTTCAACTTTATACTTAAGTTCACAGATAGTCATTATATAAGTGAGTAGAGTGACAGGTTTCTGCTTTGGCAGAGCACTCTGGTTCCAGGCTGCTGGGGGTGTAATTGCTACCAGTAGGAGGTTGCAAGAGGCCTGAACTAAGAAAGCAGAGATAAAACCGGCATGCACAGGAGTTAGCACAGAGGGCTGTTGGAGTGGGAACTGTCTGGAGCTGAAACAAAACCCAGATTCTGGTTAACCCCTGGGTTATAAGGAGAAGTAATGCCGCAAGTCTTAATCTCTGGTTATATTCGACATAAAAACAAATCTACGACTTGAGTATTCTGACCTGGAGTTTAGGAAAGACACAGGAGTTAGAGCAAGAATTTGAAAACCACCAGCATTGAGAGAATTCAGACAAGGAAATGACTCAAATTACCCAACAATGTATATGGAAAAGAGAAGGAAGAGGCCTCGGACAGGCCCCTGTGAACATTTAATAAAACAGGATAGGATGAGGGTCACCACATGTACGCAGTTATAAAATTTTTAAAAATAAATATTTTAAAGAACAATAGAGATTGAAGAGAAAATCCCAGAAAATTAATAGACAAAGCAGTAGAGCATCGTGGAAGCAAAGGAAAAGAGTTTACAAGTAGGACCAAATGAGATCAACATATTGTTAAATGCTATCTTTAGGTAAAATAAAAATAAGGGCTAAGGTGGAGCACTTGTCCTCTGCTCAACAAAGATTTCACAACAGACCTTAACAGGAGCATTTCTTGGTGTGATGGGAAGAGGAGTAGTGACAGCAAGTTGTCTATATTTTAGAAAGTTTGGCTGTGAAGGGGAGGAAAAAAGCCAGGTGCAGGCTGGAAGGCAGTGTGGACTGAAGAGGATGTTTTACCTTATGTTGGCTGGGTTTGCTTTGGGTTACTTAATCATCAGTTTGATTAATTAATTAATATGAAACCAGATGATACACTGTGTAAAAGTATTTAAAGGGTCTTTAAAATGCTAATAAGGAGATGACAGAGCTGGGGAAACTGATTATAGGATAGAGACTGAAGGGGAGCACAAGATAGGGACTGGTTTGTAGGAAAGCTGGAATGGCATGAAAACCAAACGGGAAAGATTAACTAGAAGAGATGGGACTCTACTTCTTTCAGTTTGATGGAGCAGCAGTTGCCAGGGTGGGTTTTCCCTTGCATTTATTTCCATTCACATGGCTTTTACTGGAATTCAGATCAGTCACTCCTCTGGAACAGAAGAACAGCTACCCCCCATCCCATATTCTCTTCCCACAACAAAAATCTGTTAATCTCTTTTCTAGGTACTTACACCAGGCAGGTAAGCATGTCAAAAGGTTGTTTTAAGGACAGCATTACTATATTTTTTCAATGCAATTTATGTTCCAGCTTGCTTGAACCCAATCAAAACAAACTTTTCATTTATAAATTTTGCAGTCAATAACATTTTTAGCAAGCTCAATAATATATATTTGAAACAGAAAGGCATGCAAATTTTTATTAGTCAAATTATGTAACTTTCATTAACTGTAATTAATGAAATAAGAGCAAGAGGAAGCTTTCTGGCCATATTGTAATACCCCAATCTTAACAGTGTTGTTAACTTAGAAAATGGCAAGTCAGGTGTATTAAATGATCTCTTAATGATCTGAGCAATTCCTATTGAGAAAGGATACCACAGAATGAGACAAATGTGGCTCTCATAGAGAATGAAATCTTAAAAAATAAAATACATGACATTACACATATCCAAAGTTTAATATTCTTACATCTTAAGTATCCAATCAAAATATTTAGATGAGAAAAGTAGTTAGCTAAGACACAGAAACAGCTATAGTTGCAACTCATTGCAAAATACACTTAAAGAAAATTTTATTTCCTAATGACAGCAACTACAAACACACAATTCAGAAACTTTTATAATGTGGCTCACTCTCAAGTTAGTTATTTAATAAAACACTAAGTGTACTATAAATAGAATAAAAGGTTACCACTGCTGAGGAAAATCATCAGTTTGATTAATTAATATGAAAACAGATGATACACTGTGTAAAAGATGAAGCCTTTATTTTAGCACCAAAGTTAAGTCTATGAAAGAAATTTTAAAAAATAAAATAGATGACATTACACATATCAATCCATAGTCTATCTCCAAGAAATAGCCAGATAAAAGTAACTGTGACTTACCTTGGTGGGTCCATTTCCATTAATTGCCACTGGTAATGTTTCATAAAATGTATTCTTAGCTCTGGCTTTGCCATTTTCAAATTTTAAAACAACTTCATCTGGTTTAAAAACAGAAAATAGGTTTTAGTAATTTAAAATGTGTGTCTGTATTCGTGTTTCTGTGCAGGTATGTATGTATGTCATTGCTATAAAATTTCTCATGTATGTAATATTCCAAGTGCTACAACACTTTTAGTAACTTCATCTACTCCAAGTCAGCAGATACACAAAATGAAGGATGACAGTGACAACAGGTACAGATAGCAAACTCACTCCAACCTGGCACCAGTAAAATGATTGAGGTGGTAAGCCACTGAGCTGTCTGTTAGAATAATTCATCTTGAAATCCTGCCTTTGCCCATTCATAGTAATGTTATCCTTGACAAGTTAAATTAGCATTTCATTTTAGTCATCTATCAAATGGTATCCATGCCTGCCTTTGAGGGTTATTATGAAGATAATAACAACATATGCATGGTGAGTAGAATATTGTCTGACATAAGCAAGGTTTCTACAATTGGCTACCAACAATAATATTTCCAGTTCTTAAAAATCAGACCTAGAACAATAATCAAGATAAAACTCAAGTCAGAGAGGAACAGGAGCAGTTTTTTTGAAGAAAATTCTGGTTCATTTCCCGAGCACTCCAAACTAAACATTTTGCATTGTGAGAATTTTTTTTTTTAAGAGACTGGGTCTCACTTTCTGGCCCAGGCTGGAGTGCAAGGGCATAATCACTGCTCACTGCAGCCTCGAACTCCTGGGATCAAGCAATTCTCAGCCTCTCAAATAGCTGGTATGCACTATAGGTGCATACCACCATGCCTGACTAGATTCTGATAATCTTTTTACTAAATTAACTGACTTGAAGTATTGTTATCAAATTGTAATATATTTTAAATTTTTATGCATATATTTTAAAGTATTTAAATTACAATATTTTAAATTTTACTTTATTGATTAGCTTTAATGTATTTTAGCAAGATATATGTATCTATAATACACAGGCACGTATGCACATGCACACATGAGCATAGACTCTCTCTTTCTCTCTCTCTCTCTCTCTCTCTCTCTCTCTCTTCCCCAGTCTATCTGTCAAATTGTCACCAGTTATCTTTCAGCTGGGTCAAAAGGATCTACTATAATACTCTGGGTAATTTGAAATACAAAGAATTTCACAATAATAAAGTGTAATTCATAAACTTATCGAAAGTCCCCAAATGGTGGGACACTAAATTTTAAGTTACTTAAAGCCAGAAGCTTATCTTTTTCACACTAGTCATGGGAAGTAATTTTAATTGAATGTGCTGAACTATATCAAGTTAAGCTCAAGTCCAGTATTTTTTTTAAGGTACAGTATTTATACTCTCAACCTTAGTCACAGCCTCAAAGATAGTTGAAAATGCAGGTTCCTTATTTGTTTGTATATATAAGAAGTCCAGTATTTAGGAAGCATACCTACAGCTCCATTTAAGGTCTGGAAAATTTTGCATTTGTGATCCAATGTGATGTTAATAGCTTCCTAAAAAATAATAATAGAAACGATACTGAAAATGACAACAAAAACAGCAAATATTCCTATCATATTAATATAGTTTATACTGGGTATATACCCAAAGGATTACAAATCATTCTATTATAAAGACACATGCACATGTATGTTTGTTGCGGCACTGCTCACAATACGAAGACTGAGAACCAACCCAAATGTCCATCAATGATAGACTGGATAAAGAAATTGTGGCACATATACAACATGAAATACTATCCAGCCATAAAAAATGAAAAGTTCACATCCTTTGCAGGGACACTGATGAAGGTGGAAACCATTATTCTCAGCAAAGTAACACAAGAACAGAAAAACAAACACTGCATGTTCTCACTCATAAGTGGGAGTTGAATAATGAGAACACAAGGACACAGGGAGGGGAACATCACACACTGGGGCCTGTTGGGGAGTGGGGAGCTAGTGGAGGGAATAGCATTAGAATACCTAATGTAGGTGATGGAGTGATGGATGCAGCAAACCACCATGGCACCTGTGTAACTATGTAACAAACCTGGACTTTCTGCACATGTGCCCCAGAACTTAAAGTATAATTAAATATATATTTCTTTGGGGGAATATAAAGCTTAACATTCTTACAACTTAAGCGTTTAATCAAAGTATTTAGATGATGAAAGTAGTTAGCTAAGATGCAGAAACAGCTATAGTTGCAACTCATTGCAAAATACACTTAAAATCTTGTTCCCTAACAACCACAACTACAAACACACCATTCAGGAACTTTATATCTGTATCCAATCTATATATATTAAATATATGAAATATTAACTTATATTGGTAAATATGATAAAAGTATTCTCAAATTAGAAAATCCTGTTTTACTATTCTCCAAAGATTCACTTACATCAATTTCAGGAATGTTCTCTCTAGGGCCTATGGGAGACTGCTAATTGTACCCTACATTCCCTTAACTCCCCAATAAAGGAACTCAGATTTTCAGTAGATACATGTGCTTAAAATAAAAAACAAATTTCTCTTTAGGTATTATGAGCAGCCACATAAATATGTTCTGATCAAAGTGTAAGAAACTATTCAGTAAGACTTCTAGCAAAGCTAATTAAAGAGTAATGAAACTGAGATGGAATATGAATGCAATGACTGGAACTCAAGTAGCCATTTTGGACAAAGAAGTAAGATTAAAACTAGGAGCTATGGGCCAATGGTATTATTTTATAATTGTAGCAAATTAAACACATAAAGTCTATGTTATTATCATATGAAATAGGAAAAAAAGTCCAGATTTTGGTTTTCAGGGAACCAAGGATCCAGTCCTTACAATGTCACCAAATATGTGGCCTCATTTTCTCTATTGACAAAATGGGGATACAGAGTCTAGCCTCTAGGCTAACTAGGATCAAAGAAGCTCAGAGAGGTACAAAGGGCTTTGCAAGGCTAAAGGTCTACAAATGAGAATACAGTTCATTTTTTAAACTACAAAAGTTCACTGATATCAGATGGCTTTGGCATAGCTTTTGTGAGAAAACAATTATAGCTGCAAGATGGAGTAACTACAAGAACACATATTTCAAATGCTCTATGTTAATAAGTGACAGCTATTTATTCAAGAATATGGAAGAAGCCATTCTGTAGAATCTTTGGGATTTCATTATTGTCTCTTTAAATCTCCAAGCTCAGAAGTTTTGATAATATAATTTATTCTGTTATTCTAAGGCAGCCTTGAAGTGAGTATGCAGTGGAGGTAGGGCCATGACATTGGTGTGAGGGCTGCCATTTCACTTCAGTATCAAGTTATTGCAATAGATGTTTCAATACATATAGCAGTGCATTACATTGTTCTTCCTTCATTTTGCCTGATCCAATCAAGTTTGGCAAGTTTGCCAACTTTGCCAGAGAATAGAAGCCATAAAGAAACATTAAGTGCACTCCAGCCTGGGTAACAAGAGCGAAACTCTGTCTCAAAAAAAAAAAAAAAAATTAAGCTAGTGCTGATACCCAGCCAGGTGAGATAAACCAATCTCACCTATTAAAAATATATCATCAACAAGAACATTTTGAAATTCAGTTTACTAGTTGTCACAGTATCATAAAATCCTTTGTTTTTGACCACTCCAGATTAAGAAAATATAACACACAAAACAACAAATCAATAAAACAAAAAAAAATTGCAGCGGTTACACACCCTTTTCAGTGGATCAATGTAAATTTTAGTGTAAAAGAGCTGATCATCATCATTATCCTGGAGATTCCATTGTTGAACTATACGGTTGATGTATGGAGCATAGCCAATAAATCCTGCAACACAGCAGAGAGAAAGTAGATAGATAAGTTAGGATTCAAAGACCAAAACTGATGTCATGTTAATTTCATTGACCAGTTGCACAGAGCTGTGAAGCTATGAAGCCTAATCCTTAGGTTTGGAATTTCACAGCTCACCTTGAAAGAAATATGAATTATTGAGTGTTCCTTGTTTTTTATATAAATTAATACAGTGTTGCTACCAACTGTAAAACAGAAAATAACCAGACTCTTTTTAAATAAAAAGTCTCCAAAATTAACTGACAAAAGAGGGAGAACTAATGTTTTCCAAAGCTCCTAAGGGAAACAGATTTACTAGGAGAAGAATAGACTGAGACAAGAATTTTCTCTCTGACCTTCTAAAAAGCTGTTTGTGGAGTCTCTGTGGAGAACTCACTCTTTCTTAAAGAATAAAATCTCCACTACAGTGGTTTTACTGTCAGTGCCAGAGATACTAATGGAATCAAAGGAATGCTGGATTTGTCACTAACTGCAAACATCCCAAAGAAATTTTATATCTAGGACATTTTGGAAATGTTTCCATTACTTTGGCCAGTAATTATTGTGCCTGCTAAACCATTTTCTGACTAGGCTTTTTGTGTCATAGTCTGGAAAAAGGAAGTCTAAAATTGGATTGTTCTCCTTGGCCTTAGCATAAGCATTAAGACCGCCAATAACATTTGTCTATTAAAGACACAAACGGAATCATTTTTCCTGTCTGAATCTTCCTCTGAATTATGGAAATGCAGCCAAGCTGCGATGTTTCATTGACATTCAATACTTTTAAAAAGGAACCAATGTTACTCCTGTGAACTGAAGGAAAGCCTATTTTTTTACCATCAAAATTAAAATTTTCTTAAAAGAATAAAAGAATGCAAAGAGACAGGTCTGGTGAAATTACTGTTACTGGAGAAAAAAAAAAGACAAAATGAAAACATGACGAAAACCAATCACTGGTTGATCATTTTTTTGGTATTCTTGACAAATAAAACAATTCTATAACAAATGTTTTAAATCCTATGGCCAATCTTCTATGATGAAAAAGGTACCACATAGAGATATGCAACATTTTCCAATGATTTATATTACTGTTCTTCAAAAATTGTTTCCTTATTTTTTACAGATCCCAAATGTCCTCAATAAATGAAAAAAATGTATTTTCACATACATATTTTATGTGATTTATATTTTCTATTAAAAACTTTTGTTGTTGTTGATTTTTGGAAATGGGGCTCTCACTCTGCTGCCCAAGCTGGAATCCAATGGTGCGCTCATAGCTCACTGCAGCCTTGACCTCCTGGGTTCAATCTTCTCACCTTAGTCTCCCAAGTAGCTAGGACCACAGGCATGTGCCACCAAACCCAGCTAATTTTTCAAAATATTTTTAGTACAGTTGGGATTTCCCTACATTGCACAGGCTATACTGAACTCCTGTGTCAAGTGACCTCCCTCCCTAGGTCTCCCAAAGTGCTGGGATTACAGGTGTGAGACACAGTGCCTGGACAAAAACTATTTTTAAAAACTAAATAATATACCCACTAACAACTCATGTTCCTGAAATAACTGTCAATACATTATCCACGAAACTATACAAACTTTTATTAAACATATATATTTTTTCTGCCATTCTCTAATTATTTTGACTACAGAAAGCATAAGGATGATGCTTTGATGTCCTTTTATAGCCATTGTTATAAACATCTTTTTCCACTTACAAACAACATTTCCTTATTTAAACTGGCTTACAACTTCACTTGCTTGCTAATTTCTTGCTGTTTCCAAAGCACTGTGAGTCTGTCTGAAACCTAACCACCTGAGTATATACATCACTATTTGAGATAAATTTACATGTGAGATTTCTCTATGCAAGTCATCTTCAGAAACATTTCAATAAGTATAAAATAAAACATGTCTCAGAGTTCCATAGCTAAATACTTCCTTTAAAAAATTAGTTTAACAGCCAGGCACTATGCCTCACGCCTATAATCCCAGCACTTTGGGACGCCAATGCAGGCAGATCACCTGAGGTCAGGAATTCGAGACCAGCCGGACCAACATGGAGAAAACCCTGTCTCTACTAAAAATACAAAAAAATTTAGCTGGGTGTGGTGGCTTATGCCTGTAATCCCAGCTACTTGGGATGCTGAAGCAGGAGAATCGCTTGAATCTGTGAGGCAGAGGTTGTGGTGTGTGGAGATCGCACCACTGCACTCCAGCCTGGGAAACAAGAGATAAATTCAGTCTCAAAAAAAAAAAAGGAAAAAAAAATTGGTTTTAAACAATGGAGGACTTAGAATTAGTTACAAGATTAGCCATGTGTTACTGAGATCTTGACAATATGGAGGCCATGACGTGGAAGCAGCACCCATCCAGGAGCCAAATGCTCAAGGAGAGAAGTGAGGGTGGGTAGCCGTCTTAGGGAGAGGCTTTGATGGTTCATGAACTAAAATCCAACAGAGAAAGACTGCTAAGGCATTAAGTACAGAGTAACCACTAAGATAAACCTTGGGTTCTCACTTGAATATGGAAGCTAAATCCAAAGGTAGTAGATAGATTTGGAGAAAAGAAAATGGTCCAAAGCATGATTTGTAGAAATACGGAGATGAAGAAAAAAAGAGATATGAAGCTAGGCAGTGAAAATTGGAGTTTAAAGTTTCAAAAGTCCAAAATCTACATGAGCTAACAAAGTTCCAAGGTACAACTGTGGGAATAGGTTAATAAAATAAAGTACGGGTACAAAGAGCTGGATTTGAGGTATTACCAAGAAACTAAATCACTTCCTAGTAGCTAAGCAAAGCCTACAACCCAGATATGCTGCTACCTGAAGCAGCACTTATTTTAACTAGTCTGGATCGCCTTAGTTATATACATGTAGATCACCCCCAAAATCCATTTTTCTAATGTGGTTTGCCATTTGTACCCATTTGTTTCTCTAACATGTCCTCCATCCTATTTAGTTACATCTGTTGTCCATAAGTTTACATTAATCTCAAGCTAGAAAAAATAAATTTGTAGCCTTCATAACATCCAAAGTCAAATTTTAGCTAATTTTCTAAAGGATTGACAGAGGAATATGATAATTTGTTCCTTTAATCCATGTTAGCACAGCTAATGCAGTATTTTAAATATACCCAGACACTCAATATTGAATAGTTTTGACTACTGAGTTCAAGACAAATCATTTATTTACTCCAATAACATTTAAAGTCAGATAAAATTAATAACTATTCTTAAAAGCTACTTGATTGCAGACTAAGAATGAGCTTTTTTTAAATAAGCTTACTAATCCTATTATCCTATAGGAAGAAAATTTTCAGTGTGTCATAATTAAAAGACCTGGATCCATACTTTTTTCCTTTAACAACAGAGTATATCTAGAAGTCACTTACATTTGAAAAACATGAGTTTCCTCACTTACAATGTGGAAATAATAACATTTTTATTACCTAGTGTTTTTAGGAGAACCAAATGACATAATATATGAGAAAATGGTTTGTCAATATAGTGATAATAAGATAAGGGTTATTTAAAACTTCGTATCTAAAGTTGCTACATCTACAAAAATGGTTGTTTTGTCAATCTTTACAACTGGCATTAAACTTTTCTTCCAGTATCTAACTCACCTCCTGAATTCAGATAACGTTTCCCAATGTGCACAACAGGATACTTGTCTGCTAGTCTTTTATCTGGCCACAGAATTCCATCTGCTGCAAAGACCACTTTGTGGTTTGCCTTTTGGAATTTTTTTAGAAGTTCTTCTGGACCACCAGCAAATATGACATCAAAGCTGTTCAATGAGGAAAAAAGATGTTTAAAAATACATTTGTCAGAATTTAGGCACATAAACCATGAAAAGTTCTCTAACCAATGTCAGAATCTAGAATCCAACACGAGATTAATATCTGTGCCAAGTATTTACATAGAACACTAAACAAAATTTCCCTCAAATTATATGGATTGCATTGAATTATTAATGTTTTTATTACATTAGCAAATGAAGTCCAAATAAAAGACAGCTATTTTAGTGTTAGCCTTAATTTTTTTCAATAATCACTTATTCCCAAACTGAAATTATAAAACAGTATTGAAATGTTAGAAGTGCAGTTACTTGTTGTTTAACTTAATCATACAGATAGTCATTTACAAAAGTTGCCATAACTGGGTAATATTTCAAGTAAATTTGTACCAGTCCATTACAGTTTCTAAAGAATTCATTATCTTTGACAAAATGTGTTTAACTGCTAAATGACATCAATATATGTTTAATATTTCAATGACTGTTCAGCATGGAATCTTAAAAGAATTGTGTTCATGCCGGGCGCGGTGGCTCACACCTGTAATCCCAGCACTTTGGGAAGCCAAGGCGGGCGGATCACGAGGTCAAGAGATCTAGACCATCCTGGCCAGCATAGTGAAACCCTGACTCTACTAAAAAAAATACAAAAATTAGCTGGGCATGGTGGTGCATGCCTGTAGTCCCAGCTACTCGGGAGGCTGAGGCAGGAGAATTGTTTGAACCTGGCAGGCAAAGGTTGCAGTGAGACAAGATTGCGTCACTGCACTCCAGCCTGGTGCCTGGTGACAGAGCGAGACTGTCTCAAAAAAAAAGAAGTGTGTTCAGACACCTACAGGTTTTTAAAGCTCAATTTACTTGGGGGAAAATTTTTATAAAAATTGGTGCTCTAATTTAATATCTACAACTTTATTATTTTTCTGATGACTTTCTTCCTCGTCGTTCATTCACAGAATCACAATGACTTAACCAAATATAAAGTATAAAAGCCACTATCTAAAATTTTTCTACTCTGCAATAAGTTCTTTATTCATTACAATCACAAACTATTTTATATCAGTGTAACTTAAGACCAAAGGTTTCCAAAGATGATAAATTATTAACTTACCATTCCTGGTAGCTAATAGCATAATTGTAAAGTCACTCACAGCATACAATTTCAAGTCTGCCAGAGGAGTTTTCTAATCCCAGCTCTGCCACTTGATATGAGAATAACCTTAGGACAAGTCACTTAACCTCTTTACACTTAAGTGTAAAGTATAAAATGGAGAGAAAAGTAGTATCTATATCCTCAAGTTATGATTTAAAAAAATTAAAAATCACTCCTGGCACACTGTAAACACTCAACCAATTTAAAAACTAACACGAGAGGGATTGGGGTGAAGGGAGACAGAGGAAAATTCACTTTGAAGTTTTCACCAATCTGTAGGTTAAAGTAATTTTATTTTTAGCCAAATAAATGTATTTTTGAAACTAAACTAAGAATACAATTGTTCTGACTGAAACCTCAAACTTTGCCCTCTTTATTTGGGAAAAAAACTGATTAATCTGACATTATGAAACATAACACTATACTTTTTCTTCTAGGTACAACTGATTTCCTCAACCTGATTTAATGCAGGTATTTTCCTCAAAACTATAAGTTGTTATTTTTTTTAATAATGAAGACTGGGAAATAAGACCAGTTTTATGGGTCATTGGGCCATGAGAAGTGAGGCAAATAAATCAAAGTCTCTGAAACAGAGACTACCACATGAGTGACAGAGACTTTGTGTATTGCCTGGAGACGGGGAAAAATAACTTATGATGTCAGAGCATCTTATGATTAGAGACTCCAACCAAACTGAGTCTGAAATTTTGCAGGTAGCAGCATGCATACAGTGTGGTGATTCCTCAAGAATCTAGAACCAGACATACCATCTGACCCAGTAAGCCCATTACTGAGTATAAACCCAAAGAATTATTAATCATTCTTCCATAAAGACACATGCACATGTATGTTTACTGCAGCATTATTTACAATGGCAAAAACTTGGAACCAACCCAAATGCCCATCAACGGGAGACTAGCTAAAGAAAATGTGGTACACATACAAAATGGAGTTCTTTGTAGACATGAAAAAGAAAGAGTTCATGTCCTTTTCAGGGACATGGATGAAGCTGGAAGCCATCATCCTCAGCAAACTAACATGGGAACAGAAAACCAAACACCACATGTTCTCACTCATAAGTGGTAGCTGAACAACGAAAACACATGGACACAGGGAGGGAAACATCACACTGGGCCTGTCGGCAGGTGGGGGGCAAGGGGAGGATGCATGCGGGACTTAAAACCTAGATGATGGGTTAATGGGTGCAGCAAACCACCATGCCACATGTTATACCTATGTTACAAAGCTGCACATTCTGCACGTTTCCCAGAACTTAAAGTAATAAAAATAAAAAATAAAGTTATAAAAGCACTTTTGGAATGTGAGTGAATATTTTTTGTCTTTGAAATCCTAATGATAAAGATTATATACAATATATATAGTATATCTTAAACTATTAATAAAAGTCAGTTGTTTGAAAAGGAGGTGTTATGGAAACCTTTATAATTTAGTCTTTTATAAGCATGTGCTATCTTTATACCGAAATACAATTATTTTAAGACAAAAAGTCAAGACAAAAGTTATCACATGATTCAATTAAAAATTTGCCTTTGAAGAAAAATTTCATGTTGCTTCATTCTATTAGCACTGCTATTTCTGTGTTTAAGTACTTTAGAAAAGTTCTTTGAACTTATTTAAAACTTCTCAAAGGGCAAGAAAGACTTCCTACTTAAATTTATTTTGGCTACAAAAACTCAAATTGTCAAATTAAAAAAATGCATAGAGGTCATAAAAATATTCTCAGAAATGTAGTATTCTCAAAAATACTACTACAGAAATGTAGTCCATTTAAATATGAAGAATAAAATAAAACTTTCCACATATAACTGTTCTAAGTATGCCTGGGTCCTGAAAAAACCATAATATTCTACCATATATGGTTATATTGAGGCCCCTGCCAGACTTGCCTGTGTTCTAACTCCAATAGAGGATTGAGATTTTTATAAGCGTTTTTCCTTCTTCTCCTTCTATGTTCCCTGTTTCTGCAACACCATCAATCACATAGTCACTTAGAGTGAAAATCTTTCAGCCTTCACTCCTCTCTTTCCACGGCCTATCATGTGGAATCTTTTCCCTTATCCTATTGATTCCATTTACTTAATTCATTTCGTATTCAAATCCTTTCCATTCCTACTAGAATGTGGGTAGAGGGCAAGGGGAGCGATTAATGTAAAAACCCTAGAGACCTCCATATTACCTATTTCTTTTCTACTCATAATTACGGCAGCCTGACAAACTCTTTTAAAAACAATTTGGTGCCAATTTCCAGACTAGATCTTTCTACATGTAACAAAATATCATGTGTATCCCATATATATGTATAAAAACCCTAGAGACCTCCACATTACCCATCTCTTCTGTACTCATAATTAGGGCTGCATGACAAACTCTTTTAAAAATGTTTCTGTGCCGGTTCCCAGACTAGATCAATAGTTCTCAACTATGGCCTAAAGCAGACATCAGTAAATATTTAGTTTTTGACCTTTTACAGAAAATATTTTAGGCTTTGGAGACCATATTGTCTGTCATAGTGACTGAACTCTGTCGTCGTGTTGCAAAAGTCACCATAGACAATATGTAAACAAATGAACACAGCTGTATTCAGTAAAACTTTTTACGAAAACAGGCAGTGGTACAAGCCAGTTTAACTAGCCTCACATTAATAAGCTTTCATCAAATAACCTATTCGAAATCCAAACTGAATTATTTGATCTTACATTCATGCCTTTACTCATGATATGGCCTCTGCTTAGCATGTCTTTTCACCATCGGGTCCAAACCATTTACCACCTTCAGGGCCCATTATATATGCTACCTCCTCTACAAATCTCTCCTTGATTGGCATAATTGTAAAAGATCATTTCCCTTCTCTTAACTCCCACAGCTCTTTCCTCTCCTTTTTCACCAAACATTTTATTGTCTGATATTCATGTTAAGTGTCTAACTTATATTAGACTGCATGTCCCTCCTTCGTATGTTAGATAGACATCTTTGTTCATCTGTACATCCCATTAGCCTTGTAGTTTGCAGTCACTGAGTGCATGTTAAACAAATGAATGGATCAATGAATGAACGCATCATCTCAAGTCTTAACAAGAAGCAAAAGCTCCCAGATAGCCAAAAAAGAAAGCAACCGAAGTGTTCCCTAACCTTATTTGTCATTTAGCCCTAATACAATACTTTATCATTATTGGCATAAACTTCAGCAAAAAAATTATAATCATCCAAACTCTTAGCCCCACAGACGTAGTTCTACACCTGATAATTGTGTCTTTCATCATATCTTCACCTGAAACATATGTCTATATTTCTAGAGATAATTAACACCACAAACCAATACTATGGAACCAATCCTAACTACCCACACTCAAAAAACAGACACACTCACACACGCACAGTTAAAAATACCCACCTACCCAGTTGACCTTGCACAACAGATTATGATAAAGCTGCAATGAAATGATTAAGATTACTTTATAAATTTGGGAGGGAGGAAGGAAGGGAGGGAGGCAGGGAGTTAGCTGGCATAAAATGAATACTATTTTATTTATTTATTTTTCTTTTTTTTTGTTAAGGAGAGGAAGACAGAGTAAGAAAAAGAGGGAGAAAGAACAGGAATGTTGTTTTATTCTAAAAATGGGTATTGAAAACTTCTTTTATGCCAATAATTGTGCTTAATAATGGCCGATCAAGATTTCATTTAAAGCTATGAGTAGGTGTGGTGTGATACTGATAAGAATGTATATTTTGTGTATTTAAAGTGGAGAGTTCTATAAATGTTTATTAAGTTTATTTGTTCCGGATCTGAGTTGTCCTGGATATCCTTATTAATTTTCTGTCTCAT